GCATGATAAACAAAATTGTAGGTATATGCAAAAAACTACTTTGAGTCATATGCTTTGAAGTTTTATGTGATGGTTATTCACTGACAACTTGACTGAATTTAAAATCACCACAAAAACACTTAACTGTTGGTGTGTCTATGAGGATGTTTCCAGGAAGATTGAATTGAGGAAGGAAAACCCACCTGGACTATAGATGGCTCTATCCCATGAGTTGGGGTTTGTACTGAATAAAAAGGAGAGAGGGAACTAACCACCAGCGTTCATCCTTTTCTTCCTGCCGGAGGACATAATATGGCCAGTGGCCTCATGCTTCTACCACCGTGACCACCATGCCTTCCCTGCCATGGTAGACTCTTCCTTCCTTGAGTTGCTTTTGTCAGTTATTTTGTTACAGCAAAGAGAAAAGGAACACATTTTGTTTGTTGGTTGAGGTCAAGATTGCAACACAGTATAATTTAGAAAATGTGTATAGAGGAAATATTTAGATAATTAACAAACAACAGGCAAAAGGGACATAATGGGAGATGAAGTTTCTATACATCACTTTCTGATAAAGTCCATAAGTTATAATTAGTTGATGTACATGTATTGTAACAACCTAGTGTAACCACTAAGGAAACTATATAAAGACATATCAAAAATAGATGAAAAGAAGTAAGATAAATCCATAGTTATAGTTGATGACTTGACATTCCTGTCTCAACAATTTATAGCCATTAGAAAATCAGTAAGGACATGCAAGAATTCAATAGCACCATTAAGTGAAATACCAATTTTTAAAATTATTTTTATTTTGTGTGTACGCGTGTATTGCCTGCTTGTGTATGAGTGCACCCGTGTTGTGCAGCGCTGCGGAGGTCAGAAGAGGGCTTCTTCAGCTTCTCCTGGAACTGGAGTTAAAGATGGTTTGTAGCCCGCCATGTGGGTGCTGGTGCTGGGAATCGAACCCGGGTCCTCTGCAAGAGTAGTCAGTGCTCTTAACCACTGAGCCATCTCTCCAGCCCCGAAATACCAATTTTTTAAGTATATAGAATATTGTGCCCAACAGGAACACTCTAACACATTGAGGTCCTTGATGAACATATGCAATGTAGAGTCTATTCTAAGCTATTCTGGGTTTATAAAACTGGATATCATACATAGACTTTTCTAAGTACAATAGAATACAAGAATTTAATAACAGAAAAGTAAAGAGTTTGTGATGTATGTCAGTGGGAGAGTACTTGCCTTGCATGGGCCCGGCCCTGGGTTCCATATCCAGCACTGCAAGGAAAGAAAGTAACAAAGGTAACAGAAGTGCTCAAACACTTCGAAAGGAAATGACAAAATCAAATAATTTGTGATCCAAGAAAGGTGGTTCCAATGCAAAATTATGTTACATTTCAAAACATGAGTTGAATAAAAATGAAAATATAACAAAAAATGTACACAGCTAAAGCAATGATCAGAAGAAAGTTTGTGGCACCAAATCCATGCATTAGAAAAGGGGAACCATCTACTTGATTATCCAAACTCATACTCATGAATTCAGAAAAGATTATAAAAATTAAAACCAAAGCAAGCAGAAATAAGGAAAGGCAAAACCAGAAGTCAATAAATTAAAAACAGAAAAACAAGAGAGAAAATCAGTGAAACAACTGATTTGAAAACATTAGTACAATTGACAAATCTCTAGGAAGACTGATTGATGCACAAAGTTGAGAAATACAAATAATCTACCAGGAATGAAAGAGTATCATCATTCGTGACCATGCAGGCATTAAAAGGGCATAAAATAATCCGGTGAATAACTCTGCTTATAAATGTGATCATCTAGTTGAATTATACACACACACAAACCACACACACAGACACAGGAGGGTGTGACTTGTGCATGTAAGCGTAAGCTCTACCTCTGAACTTTCTTTCCTTAGCCTTTTGAATTTATGATCAAGAATTTGTATAAAAAATAAACTAGAAATTTTAAAAGCTTAAAAAATAAGACAGATTCTACGCAGTATCTTTTAGACAGTTACAGAGGATTGTTATTCTTGGTGGACACCGGGTCAGAGGTACTCAAGCTCTACTATTCCTTACAGCATTTGCTCATATGAGAATTTATCTGATGATAAAGGTTTTTATTAAAAATAACTGAGTTGGGTATGATAGTGCATGCCTACAATCTCAGCACTCAGGAAGCTGAATCAGAAGGATCAAGAGTTTGGGGTGAGTCTGGGCTACATAGTTCAAAGCTAACCTGGTCTGTGTAATGAGATCTTGTCTCAAACAAATTAAGCCAAAAAGATGGAAGGAGGACATGGCTTATAGAAAAGAAAGGTAAGAGTGACAACATGCTTCTTTTTGGAATTATTAGAAGCTAGAAGAAAGTATAGCAGTAACTTTAAATTACAAAAAGAAAAAAGCTAGGCAGTTTGACTCTGGAGCCCGTTTGCTTACCCATTTCTGTATGCTGCATCATAGGGACAATAAAAACAAAGACAGATAGAGCAATTAGATACACTTTCTTTCCCTCTGTGTCTTGGGGAATTGGAGTGGTACTGTTGTCCTTTGAAAAAGAAACCATCTACTCTCTTATTCCTGATGTTTCCTCTGCTTCAATTTTAGAAAAGTAAAATTGGTTAATACATTGTTTTACTTGTCAAGCAGGTTTTTATTCTAGAAGAGAATAAAGTAAATGTAAAGCTAACTGCAATACAGGCAGATTTGGGTGGATGTCAAAGAAGAGAAATTAGAGAAAAATCTTTGGAAATTTAGGGGAAGAATTGAGCAAAACAAATGAAGGACATCAAGGAAAAAGACATGCGAATCTGATTAGAGTGGAGGAAAAGGAAAGCACCGAGGATGTGTCCAAAATCTGTGCCCAGATGAATGAGCCCGGAGCAGTTTTATGGCATTGATTGAGTATGGTGGGCTCCTCAACTGTGGCAGTTCTGTGATTGCTTCTCTGCTGAGTTTTACCTGTTTTCATTACCTAATACAGTGCTGGTACAAAGTACTTAGTGTTTATTATGCAGATGAATAAATGAGCATAGAAATTAGAAGGCAGTTTTGGTAAGAATGATTTTGATAGTGAGCTCTGGTTTAGAACTTATAAATGCAGAATCTAATCTTGACTGCCATTTGGTAGTTGTTATTGCTTCCACTATCACTGCTGCTGTCAGGTAGATGCCTCTCGAGTATTAGCTGTGTCCTTATATTTAAAATGGGCACAACAAGAGAATAGTTCCCTGATAGGTTTCCCAGTCCTAAGTGGTCAGCCCTAAACACATGTACTGTAGGCAACACTAATTGGACTTACAGGGTGGTGTGTGTGTGTGTGTGATATTACATGATGTCATGAATTTGAGAAGGAATGGGTTAGAGGGAGGGTGGAAATAATGTAAACACAGTATACTCATTTATGAAACTCCCAAAATTTAAAATTTAATGTGACTTACACAAAGTTGTATAGTTAGTTAAAGGGGAGAAAGTATAGGATAAAAGGTGGTGTAAGACCAAGCCTGAGGGGGATTGTTCTGTGTAAAGTATAGGAGGGAAGAGGACAGAGATGCTAATTAGTTGTGCTTTTTTGTTTGTTTGTTTTTTTGTTTTGTTTTGTTTTGATTGGATGGTATTGAGGATTGTGCATACAAGTTCTACCATTGAGCTATGTGTTGATAGCTCTCACTTAGGCTCTTGAGGCTTACTTTCATGAATGAGTTTTATTTTCTGGAAAAATATATTTACCTACTTAATATCTCTATCTTTATGCCTGTTGACATCTTTAATTCATCATATACAGAACCAAATGTAGGAGTCCCTACATTGCAGGACTGAAACAAGTCATAAAGTGCTTCAGCTGCCATTTTGCAAAGAAAGAAACAGATCCTCTGGAAGTCTGCCATTTCTTTACTTCATTGATATCTCTCTCAGTAACCATTTATCTCCTGTGCTACTTTCTCATAGGTGCCCAAACATTCCTTTAGGGTCCTTTTGACTTAGAGTGAGCCTTAAGAGTTCATCTTGGCTACAAATAGCTAGTGGTCTTGTGCATAACAGTGGTTCAGTGGAATTAAAAGGGGTAACCCAATATAGAAAAGTTAGTTGCAAAGAATTGGTATCAGGCTGGGGACGTACCTCATTGTATCTTGTTCAAGGTCCTGGGGTCAGTCCCCAGTGTCATGAAAAAAGAAAGGGGAAATTAAAAATAAAAAAGTAATAGTTAAAAACAGATGTGGTAATAAGTTATAGAAAACTAGGAAGAACACAAAATGAATGAATTCTGTCCTCAGCACTTTGTCCCATAATCCCCTGAGACAAGGAGCCTCTGTAATGTCTCAGATGTTAGGAAGCTATTTGGAACCCATTCATGTAGATGCCCAGGGCACCTGGCAATCAGAGTTGTTAGGAAGGAGAAGACTACTTGTGTCTTTGCTCTTCTTCCTCGGTAACTTTAACATGTACCCTGAAATAATGAAGATGAGAATTCAGAACTGGGCTGAAATTACAACCAGGATTTAAATAAGCTCAGCTATCATTTAAAAACTTTGATTTACACAGGAAGCCACTTTTGTGTGGATTAGTTGCTCTGAAACATGTTTTTATTAACCTAGACATAATCAAAGAATTAGCAGTTTGGGGAGAGAAAGCTTCGGAGCAGCCATTGAATTGGTCTTGCATGAATTCTTAGCATTGTCTGGTGATTTTTATGTGTTTTAAAATAATTATTTTATAGTATTATTTACAGTTTTGAATTTTAGTCAGCAACTAATTAAGCCCTGTGCCAGACACCATGGAGAGGGAGGGAAAATAGGACAAAGTCCTTGCCCTCAAAATTGAGTCCTGCTGAGTACAGAATGAAGAACGTGATCTTTTAGATTTTTTTCCTTTTTACTTCATTTCCCCACCTGAGCTTTCATGTTATGTAATTTTTAATTTTAATTTACTGGCTTGTAAAGCATGTTCATGACTGAAAATTCAATAATTTAAAGCTTGTATTCTTCCTTTCAAATTATTATTAGGTTGCAAGACTGGAGAAAGACAAAGAAGAGCTGCATAACCAGCTGCTTAGTGTTGATCCCACAAGAGACAGCAGACGAGTGGAGCATCTTGTTCGAGAAAAAAACCATTTGCTTCAGAAATTGAAAGGTTTAGAGGCAGAAGTAACAGAATTAAGGGCTGAAAAAGAGAATTCTGGTGCTCAGGTAGAAAATGTCCAAAGAATACAGGTGAGGCAGTTGGCTGAGATGCAGGCTACACTCAGATCCCTGGAGGTAAGGTTTTAATTGCTTCCCAGTAGACTATGGCATAGTTTTTAAAGTGCAGTTGACAAGCCTTTGATTTTTAGGACATAAATACATGCTCGCCTATCTAATGCTGACGTATTTGTGTAGTCCCAAGAGTTCGTATTCTTTTTTGTAAATAGAAAGTTTTTTGAGTCATAAGCAATAACTGTTACTACATTTATGAGCAGAGATTTAGTCTTTGGGAGTTACCATCTAACTAAAATGACTTAACTCTTATGTCACAGAATAGAATATGCAAAATACATCCAAGTTTCTCAAGACTAAAAAGACTTCTGAAACCAGAATAATTCTTTTGAGATTATAAATTTCTTACATTGTAACTTAAAAAAATCTTAAAATTATAAATCCCACTTGAACAGACATAACATACTATATGTAACTTATAATAGCTTCTTACTGAAGTAGTGAAATTTAGCTCGGATACTAAGGCATAGACGTATTTACTGAATTATTTCCCTGAGTTCATTAGAGAAAAATGGATGATGACAGAGCCATGCTGGGACTTCTGGAGGCATTACTTATGAAAATTCTTGGTTTCCATCTTATTCAGACATGCTTATACCGTCTTAGTGCTAGATACCTAAAATGGAACCAAGATGCTACTTTAATATTTTAATTTATTTTGTGTAATTCAGAACAGTTCTTTTCCATACCCTCTTCCCTTTTGGAAGTGGTGGAGCTTGAAGGCAGTTATAGGTAGTTTGTATCCAATTCCCAAATCCTAAATGATGATTCTTTTTGTAGACAGCCTGCTGGTACATGGACTACATTGTATGTTTTGAAGAGCAGAAGTCACTTTTGTTTTTTTGGATGACGCTTCTGTCAGTATTTGCTGATTTCTTGAATTAAGCTTGGATCATTGGCACTTAGGCATGAAGCAGTCCACAGTGGGAGGACTTAGGTTGCCATGCTAGTCCTTAATGTATTTGCACAGTGAAGGAGCAAGTGGAGTGACTGCCCATGAACATAGTGTGTGGTCCCAATGGTAAACTTTGGTCAAGGATGCCTAGAGTGATGATTTCCAGGGCAAGTTGAATGATGACATAAAATAGGTGACTTATTTGTGACATTTTCAGAAGAGCCTATATTTAATTTTATCATTTTTCAGATAAATTGAGAATAAATTCATGACAGTGAGTATTTCTTTTATCAGCTTTTTTCACTGTTGTTGTATTCAGAAAATATCATTTCGTATTCAAAGAAAATAGTTTTTGTTTCTTGAGTTATTTGCTGAATGAAATTCTTACTAAATATAGTTAACATGCATACAAGTATTACTAAACTGAAGATTATCCTTTAAGTGAAAAAATGCTTTCATTTTGAGTAGAAATATTGTTTAAAAACTTTCAGTGTTCCCTCTCTAATAAAAGAGTACGTTGAGCATCACTTTGAATTTCTTGTCAATTTAGTGGCTTTAGTAAGAATCTTAATTGTGCCTGGTGTACATGCTTTTAATCCCAGTACTCAGGAGGCAGAGGTAGACAGATCTCTGAGATCAAGGACAGCCTGGTTTACATAGAGTTCCAGGCCAGCTGGGGCTACAGGGGGACCGACTCAAAGAACAAAAAGCAAAACAAAAAGAATCTTGATTGTGTGATTGTGTGATAAAGATAAGAGGTTCTTTGCCCATATTTTAGAAGATTCCAGGACAGTGGGGAATTTTTGAAATTTTGTCTATACTTCTCCCTTTGGGAAAAAAAAAATCTCCATTGATTGGAGATTTTTAATTATATGTCTATTTTATGTTTAATTTATTTTGTGTGCATGTGTATGTATGTGAATGCATGCATGTCAGTCACAGTGAGTGTGGAGGTAAGAGGATAGCTAATGGAAATTGGTTCTCTCCTTCTACCATGTGGGTCCTGGAGGTCTAACTCAGGTCATCAGACTTGGCAGCAAGCACCTTTACCTACCTCACTGGCCCTCAGTTTTTACTACTTTTGTCAGTAGCCTTCTCTTCTACCTTCTCATATGCTTTTTCTTAACTGTTGTGGACTAGAAAGTCTCAAAAATGTGAGAATTATGTCAGCATTCTAATAGTGAGGTATCCTCTCATGAAAGAAGTATATGTGATCCAGCAAGATAGCTCAGTGGGTAAAGGTGCTTGTTGCTAAGTCTTATGATCCGAGTTATATCTCCAGGACCCACATGGTAGGAGAAGAGAACCAACAGGGAGCTCCGCTTGCTAGACATGCCCCCTGTCCCCAGCAACTGACTAAATAAGTAGAAATTTTTTTGGAAAAATAAAGAAGCATATGAGCTTTATTTTGTTGGTGGCTATTCATACGTTAGCTCAGTTTCTTTCATACTTCATGGAACACCAATCTTCATTTGATTTCTACTGGATGGTTTGAGGAAACTGTTATTTTGGAACATGTTAGTCTGGCTAAAGTTTTGAATAATTTTTCGTGTAATAGCATATGAATTTTAAATAATGATTATTTTCTTATAACAAGAAATATAGACAACTTTTGAAATATTTTGTCTTAAAGGCTGAAAAGCAGTCAGCTAAGCTACAAGCTGAACGCTTAGAAAAAGAGCTACAGTCAAGCAATGAGCAAAATACTTGTTTGATCAGTAAATTGCATAAAGCTGACCAAGAAGTAAATGGACTGACCAGCAAAGTAAGTTGCTTTTGTTTCATCCTTTGTAAGCTTGGTACTGTACAATGACAAAAACAAATTTGTGTTGGAATAGTTCTGAATTGAAATCTTATTTTACCATATCATTCTGCCTTGCAAATGCATTCAGAATTGGCCATTTCTTGCTACTTGTATGGACCACTCTAGTCTAAATCATGATCTCACTAGTCTTAATTTTTATGATAGGTTTCTAACTGGTCTTTGTATTCTCTGTCCATGCAGAGCTCTGTGTGAGTTGGCTTTTGCCGTCTTTCCATAGCCATTAACATCCATTTTCCTTCCTCTTCACTTACTCCTGCCTCACTGACCTTCTCATTCTTTGAAATAGTTCTCTCTACCTCAGGGCCTTTGTGTTTACAGGCCTGGCATGATCTTTCCTCACATACTTACATGTCTTTCTTCCTTACTTTCTTTAGTTGTAACCTGATTTGAGAGGCCTTCTTTGTCTTTACTTTGTAAAAGAGCATCTTTTCTCCTGCCATAGTCTTTGTCTTCCTAACCTGCTCTATTTCTTTCATAGCTCTTAATACCATCTGATATATTCTGTTTGCTTTTTAAATTTCTTCCTCCTTACAACTTTCCTCTCCAGCCAAATGTCAGCTCTAAAATAGCAAGGACATTGTTTTCACTGTTATAGTGCCCTTAATTTCTATGATGGTGCTTCCACATAGTAAATAAATATTTCCTCAGTAAATAACAACATGATTTGCATTTAAATTATCTTTTTAAATGATATTTGAATATTCCAGAGGCATCTTTGTCATTCATAAAGTTTTTCTTAGAAACTCAAGTTTTTCCCCATCAAGTGCAATACATAACCAGTTCCGCATAACTGAAACTAAGATAGCACTGATAGACTGAATTTATCGGTATAGATATAAATATATAGATATCAGACCGACTTTAAATTACATTTTTTTTTCTTATTAGCTCTGTGACTGTGAGCAATGTACTTTCTCTGAAACTTTGGGATCTACCTCTGTAAAATGGAACTAATACATACTTGCAATACAGAGTTTAAAAAAAAATTAAATGAGGTATTATTCATAAAGTTCCTAGCATAAGGTCTAATCATAAAAATACCATCTATTGTTTTTGGTCTTTGGGCATTTCTAGGATCTTAGAAATAATAAGACTTGGTCTCCAAGTCAGTGAAGTCATTAAAACTAGTAAATAGGGAGGAAGCTTTTGTTAGGGTCCGTGACTCGGTGGGTCTCTTCTGGAGAACAAATGCACGAGTATGGAGATGCAAAAATCAAGCAGAGTTTTATTAAACCAGCTAGCTGGGGCCGACCTTCTTTCCAAGACACGCAGGTCTGGTTAGAGCGATCGACCCTGAGGCAATTTCAGGTAAAGATTATATAGGCTCCCACAACTGTTACACAAAAGCC